ATGCTTCTGGAACATGGCCAAACAGCCTGGAAAATTCACAACGAATCAATAACAAGAGTCAGCACAACTTTCTTCATCCTGTCTTCTTAAGATATCATGCTCCCATAATTGTTGCTCTGAAAACCTTTCCTGGATATGTATATTAGTTTCTAGGCAAGACATAATAGCTCACATTTTCCTCTATTATTTTTTTTAAAAAAGAAGTGTATTGTGTGACATTTCAGAAACCAAACAATCAAATCCCTATCCCTATCCGCTTCTGTGTTCTTTTCTTTTATCTTTCCAAGTTGAGGCTGTTAGGAAGAGGGAAACCTACATCATTTTAATTCACTTTGCGAAAGCAAAAGAAGGAAACAAAATGGTCAGAGGTCTGAAAAACAAATACTGAAAAGCTTGTGAAAATATTGCATGATTTATAATAATGGAAACCCTGACCCCCTTAACTTCTACCTGGCAAGCTGGGAGGTGATTATTTGTGACAAAAGAGAGCTATAACAAAGAAAATTCATGGTGATACCCCTATTTCTCCATTCACTTTCGCTGCTGCTCGGCGCACAGCTATAGCTATCATTATTTTGTCAATACATAAGTAATCTTACTTCCCTGAGCACCCAGTCTTGTTCCAGTTACCTGAAAACTAAGTCATAATTTGTTGTGGGAAGCAAGCAGAGCCCTAAATTGAAAAAAGCTACTGGCAAAAAATAGTGCCCAATAAATTAATTTTCACCGAGGGAGGCTAAAACACAGCCAAGAATTCCTGTAACTTTAAGGATTCTATGGCATAAAATATGTGCAGTTGCTTTCTGATGTTTTCCAGTCACGCAGCCTGCCTTCCTGCTTCTCTTCCTCTTCCATGAGTGAGTTCTCATGTTTCTCCTGGGGAGTAGAAAGTTTAATTGTTGAACCTCTTCCTCTGGTGGAGTGTCCTTCTTTGGCAGTTTTTAAAATAGAGATGGCCATCTGTCAGGAGTGGTTTGATTTGGTTGTGAAGTTAGTTGGAAACTAGGAAAAGGGGGTTTATATATCAGTGGAAATGTCCAGGGTAAGAGAAAGAATTCTTGTCTATTTGAGGTAAGTGTGATTAATGGCCTAGCAGTTTCAAGGACTGGCTTCTTACTGCCTGGGAGAATCTTTTGTTGGGAGGTGATTAGCTGGAAATCCTTTGACCCCTCCCTAGGCAATCTCTCTTTACCTTGCTGGCGTGAGGCCCCTAGTCCCAGCTCCAAGCTGCTTTATGGATAGCCAGAGTGGTCCCTTACCAGGCAAGGTTCCTGTAGATCTGCCAAGCTAAAAGGTGTCCTTTAGTTTCTCCATGAAGGCTGTAGGAACTATTTCTTTACTCCCCAGCAGAGCTGTGGATCTATTTCTTTAACCCCCAGCAAAAGCTGGCTGTATCCCCCCAGCAAAAGCTGTGAGAAGTTCCTTTACTCCCCCAGCAGAGCTGGTTGTATTCCCCCAGAAGTGAAGCCTTTGTGCAGGTGAAAGAGAGAGACCCACACGTCCTGCTGTTAGGCTCCAAAACAGTGAGACTGAACAAAGGTTCTCCTTTGCCTTCAAAACCCTGGGAAAAGTGGCGGGTCTAAAGATTCTAACGATGATTGCCAAGTTGTTGGCCCTATGATTGCAACCTGAGGGAAGCTACCTTATTGCAAAATGCATGGCTTAAATAGATTCATGCAAACTAGCAGTGCAAGAAAATGAATTCAAATCTCCTGGCACTGCTGTGCCAGCACAGCACCTCTGTTTTAAATAAGGTCTCTACTTCTGGAGAGCTGTTTACCAAACTGGAGTTTGTCTGTGGTTTGTCAGAGGTTGCTAGAATCCACATCTTTTGATCAATGCAAAGTTTAAACTACTGAGATACTGAACTTGCTGACCGAAAGGTTGGCAGTGCTAATCCATGGAGCAGAGTGAGCTCCCGTTGTTAGCCCCAGCTTCTGCCAACCTAGCAGTTCGAAAACATGCAAATGTGAGTGGATCAATAGATACCGCTCCAGTGGGAAGGTAACGGCGCTCCTTGCAGGAATGCCGTTCACATGAACTTTGAGGTGTCTACGGACAACACCGGCTCTTCGACTCAAAAATGGAGATGAGCACCAACACCTAGAGTCGGACATGACTAGATTTAACATCAGGGGAACCTTTAGCTTTACCTTTTTTTTCTGAAGTGGAGTTTTCTTGTTCTCTCACATTTGATTCAGAAGACTAAAGGGACAGAGGTCCCTTGTTTGTGTGAGATAGGCACAAGCAGCTGAACCATGCATGTCTCAGCAGAATAAAGGGACAGAGAGGTTGTTTTTACCCATAGTTTTGTGTATCCATACGAAGTCCTGAAATGCATACTCTGTAGATATGGTGCTGTACTGTCTTGCTATTTTTTAAATATACCTTGCAGAAGATGGCCAAAATCCTGCATCATAACCTACATTCCATAACATAGCTGTGTTGCCAAAATGCTATGAAACCATGTTGGTGATTTGAGAAGATGTGCATTGGGCATGTCCGATATGTAGCAGGTAGCCCTGTTATGCTCTGGCGCTTGCTTGCAGGTTTTCTGATGCACATTGAGAAGCACCACGATTTGCATCGGTATCCATCACGCATCACGCCATTGCACATCAGTCACTCCTCTGGCTACCATTGCATCATGGACACACACCCATTGTAACATCACAGCATATTACCGACATTGAAACACTGTGTAGTTTTGTGCACATGCCAGCTGACATGTTCATCACAGGAATTTATCCCTGTGCCAAATATTCCTGTACTAGCTGACATTATCACAGTGGTCTTCACACAAGTGGAATGGAAGGAATACAAATTATGACAAATGTAAAAGACACATGCCTCCTTCAGTCATGCCTCCTGAGAAAATCCTTCAAAAGAAGCCAAACATACACAGAACACAACACATATCTATGACGTGTCCTTTAGCAGTAGAAGTAGCAGCATTGATAACATCACTGAAATCATTTTAGTAGTAATATCTTGATTTTCTAAAAAAAGCTCCAAAGGCAACTAATATAGGCCTTCCATTTTCACAGGGGATAGAAGCACAGGACCCCTTCTCCCAAAAATGAAAACACCCACACAAAAAGAACACTATTTTCTTAAGATGAGAGAACATGTCTCTAGGAATCTTCCAAGTGCCTCTGGTCTACTTTCACCTGAAGTCAACCCTTTGATTCTGGATTTAGTTTGAGCTTTAAATATATTGGTCCTAGTTTGGATATAATGTTCAGCAACCTGCTTTTATTTGTGGCTTTTAATGGTGGATACTTGTGGCACCATGTCATTGCGGTGGTGAATCTGTTCTGGACGTTAGTCTGAACTTTAAAGAAACTATCTAAAGAAGCAGAGCCTAATTGGAATGTAATGTTCAGCACCTTGAACAGTTCCAATAAGGTCTAGAGTTGTACAGTGTTCCCTCACTTATTGCTGGTGTTACGTTCCAGGACCACCCGCGAAAAGTGAAAATCTGTAAAGTAGGGATGCTATATTTATTTTAATACAGGCTGAGGCAGCATAACTTCCTTTTTTAAAATGCGCACCATTCAGTCGGTTGAAGACTTTAGCGAAGTGCTAGTGGTCTCATTCGAGAGGCGGGAGTATAAATTTTTGTCCTGACACAGTTCAGTCGCCATCATGCGTTGGAACAGTGAGGAGACTGCTTTTGCCATTGAGGCCTACTTTTCGAGAGGATTTGGAGTGGTCGGCCCGCTCTCCAGATTTGGCCCCTTGAGATTTTTTTCTATGGGTTTTTTTTTAAATCCCATGTTTATGTGAACCGTCCAAGGACCCTACAAGATTTGAAGACCAACATCCAGGAAGAAATTGCCAACATAACGCCTGCTATGCTGGCAAGAGTCATGACAAATGCCAGAAATCGGTTTACTCAGTGTATGGAGAATGGGAGACGTCACCTACCTAATTTGATCTTCAAAACTACATAAAAGAAAACTTTAGGTATGCGCCTACATTATAAAAAAAATAAAAATTTCTGATTCATACAATGGGTTTTATTAAGTTTTGAAAAAAAGGAAGTTATGCTGCCTCACCCTGTATTTATACATTATTTTAGTAGTTATACACTATTTTAAGTCTTTATAAATCCTCCCCAAACATGTATACACTACATAACCCTTCTTGAACATGTTGTTCACATAATCCTGAGCTCTGACTTTATCCGGAGAGGCAGCCTTTCCATACAGACATATTGAAAAACTGAGAAACAGCAAGTCCGCAAAAAGCGAACAGCAAAGTAACGAGGGACCACTGTACATCTTTGGCTAGTTTCTCCTCTTCCCAGGGCATGGATAATGATGGTAACACCCCCATCTACTCTTTCCAATATTCAAAAGGTTGTGGAGGAGTTACACTACATAGAAAATAACTTTTTTCTGAACAAAAATTTACTTTCTATTTAATGGAAAGGTTTCTATTGCAAGAAATTATGTTTTTTCTACACAGAAAACAGAGATCTTTGTGCACAAAACACATTTCTTGCCATATGTTCTTCTGTGTAGAATGATTGTTCCCCATCATATTGGCGCATTCAGATGCTAGGAGAAAATTATCCAAAATTATTAGTCATTTATTAGTGTGTATCACCCTGCTTTGTGATAGCCAGGAAGACCATTTTTCACAAAAATAGTAAATACTATTTCACCTCAACAAAGATGCTGGCAGCTGCCATTATGTATAATAGAAATGAGAGGATTTTTTTTATTTCTAACCATTTCCGCTCCATACGATGCATAATTTTATATACCTCTTCCCTTAGTCCTATTTAGTCTCAATTTGATTTCAACTTGTCTAAATTATTAGTGAATACTGTAATGGATTGTATGGACAGGTAGCCTACTGAATACTTCCTAATGCATAAATGTAAGCAACCCCTAACAAAAGCATTTTGCAGTTGCTGAAATTCTGAAACTGCTTATTTTCTTAGCCAGCTCTGTGATCAAGCATATAGAGAATATGGATGATATTCCTACCTTTGCAGCATTATCTGTGGAATGGTTATCAGAAGATTGGTTCCCCTTATCCGGATCTTCACTTGTTGCCCATCTGTCTGGTTCCTTGGAAGTTGCCGTCTAGAGAGGAGGAAGGAAAATGTTCTGATAAAGTAAATTGTGTTCACCAACTCAATCTTCACAACAACATAATCATTTTTCCTCCAGAGGTGGCAGTTTGCCAGAAGTTGTAGAACTACAATTCCCAACATTCTTCATGATTGGCCAGGACTACTGGGAATTGCAGTACACCAGCAAATGTGAGATGTAGGTGGCAGCCCATGTTTACTCTAAAATTAACTTGCACATATATAGATCAGTCAGATCATCCCAAACATCTACTTTATCCACATCATGCATAATTTAATATACCTTTGTGTATAAAATGTCATAACATTTCCCGATGAGATAGTCGCCTCCATCCCTTGTTCATTATGGCTGTCCTTTTCTGTAAATAAGGTAACATGTGCTGCTTCTAGAGATCATAGTTCCCATTTTGTAGTGCCAAGCATAGTAAACCACTACATCTGTTTTTGATGGTAAATTGAAGATAGGTATCTAAGGATACCGTAACGGCGCTCCATGCAGTCATGCCGGCCACATGACCTTGGAGGTGTCTATGGACAACGCTGGCTCTTCGGCTTAGAAATGGAGATGAGCACCACACCCCAGAGTCAGACATGACTGGACTTAATGTCAGGGGACTACCTTTACCTTATCTAAGGATAATTTTTAATCTTGCTTGCTTTAAACTCACTGTGTAATGTATTGTAATGTATTGTGTGCTTTTATTTATTTTTTGTTTTATACTGGCTTTGAATGTTTGTGAGTCACACTGAGTCCCCCTGGAGAGATAGGGCAGGCTACAAATGGGTGCAGCTACTCAGTAGCCAGCTGCAATAAATCACTACTGACTGAGAGGTCATGAGTTTGAAGCCAGCCTGGTCAGGGTGAGCTCCTGGCTATTAATTGCTGTTGACCTATGCAGCCCGAAAGACAGTTGCATCTGTCAAGTCGGAAATTTAGGTACCGCTTTATGCGGTGAGGCTAATTTAACTAATTTACAACATCATAAAACCTTCCAGCAGTGTGCAGAGGAATGAGGAAGTACTCCATCAAGGACTCGATGTCACAAGTGGACGGTGAAGCGGCAGCTCCCCCTGTGGCCGGAATCGAGCATAAGCTCATGAAGCCGGAAAGCTGGAATGTTAAATTGGTGCTGTGTCTGTCTATATAAGTTGTACGTCTATGACATTGAATGTTTGCCATGTATATGTGCATTGTAATCTGCCCTGAGTCCCCTGCAGGGTGAAATAAATAAATAAATATTATTATTATTATTATTATTATTATTATTATTATTATTATCATTATTATTATTAACATCATGCTTGTATAGGGCATTGATCTGCAGCCATATAGTTATAAAGTGGCTGTGCTCTACCACTATTATTGAGGTTGTGTTGACCACTATCACTGTGGAAACAATGGTGTATTGGCTAATGTGTGTGACTATTTTTTAATTGTTTACTTATTTCTCACCCCAGTGAAGAAAGTTGTACACTGAAGGCACTTGCAAACACTTACACACTTTCTAGAGTGTTCAATTATATGACTGGAATCCTGTTGATTAATCCCAACCAGAGTAGACCCTCTGAATCATTTGTTGAATAATGAGTCAACACAGGTGTTCTTCCAATGGATTTAAAGGTTAGAATTAACAACGGGCCCATGTGAGATTGTTACTCTTGTGGAATTTTGTTTATGCAACTGTGAATTATGTACACCCATTTCACAAAAGCCAAGAAAGTCCAACTAAGAGAACTTACATATGTGCATGGCACCAACAGCACAGTATAATTCCTAGGGGAAATTTCAGGTGAGTATTATGAGTTTTCCTGTGTTAAACGGGCTTTCCCATGATTCGGGCAAAATTACTTGAAAATCCAGATTATCTTGTGGCTTCGGGCCAGTCTGGACAGCTGGATTGAATCTTATTGGACTGGTCCACTGTCTATTTGGTAGGTTGACCCATCTCTATTTCCCTGCACTGATGGTCATCGTAGGCACCCATTATGTCAACAGCAAAGGTGCCCATGCAACCAGGAAGAAGATGGTGAGATTGAACTCCCCTCTTCTTCCTGGTCATGAAGATGCTTCTTCTGATGTCAGAATGAGGTGCCCATTAAAGCCAGAAACTTTCATGGAGCTCTGTAGTTGACTGGGAGCAGCAATGGCAACAAGGAGGGTCAAGTGATGGTCCAGCAGGGCCAATACAGTCTCGGTCTGGCCGGACCATGTGGACACCAAAAATGGCACCAAAGTAGGCTTGGCCAGGTCCGTGTGGTCACTTCTGGGGCCAGTCAATATCATTTCTGTTCCTGAACTGCCCCTGGATTTACTACCCAGTATATACCAGCTCCTGCTAACTATCTCAGGTTAATTGATCTCTCTTTCGTGTTCCTCTTTGGCTGACCCATTATTCCTGCTAGCTGTTTTGGGTTTGGTGAGAGATTGCTTTTCCATTTCATGTTGCCTTGCCTATCTATTGCATGCCTTCTTAATGTGTGTGATCCATTTCACTAAATAGGGTCTCTCATCTTTCAGCAATAACGACATCTACTACATCCATTGAATAAAACTGCCAGGTCCATTTGAGCTGCCATTTGCTTCAGCAGCTGTAATGAAAAGGTATAATCCCAAGATGAAAATGGTCTTTGCTGACAATATTTAGAGCTATATACATCACACAGCTCATAAAAAGTCAGCATGCGGTGGCATTCCATTCACATGGCCCACCAAAAGGCTGCCTAACCACAGGAATAAGCATCTGTATACATAAAATCACATCATAACAACTTAGCTTTCCAAAACCATCAAGTGTTCTTTATTAGTAGAGGAGAAGCTAAAGGTGTGTCCTCAAAGCAATATTACACATTACCTATAACATGTTACTTTTTTCATAATGAGATGACAGCAAAGTTTATTAACTAATGTAATCAATGGGAATATTGTGTGTTTATTGAAGTTATAAGCAATGGCCGCTGGTGGCTTTGTGCCCATGGGGTGATGAGTCTATTATCTATCTTCTCTGGATTTAATATGCTGAATGTAATTTGGAGATGAAATTCAGAATCTTGAATAGAACCCTTATTTTATTTTATTCCACAAGCGGGGGGGGTCACCACCGAGAAGGCCCTGTCCCTGTCCCCACCAGACACATTTGCGAGGTCGATGGATCTTAAACTACAAGGCAGAACATAGGTTTGGAATAAAACTCAGGCAGGATATAGTGCAAGCATGGACAAACTTCGGCCCTCCAGGTGTTTTGGACTTCACTCCCAGAATTCCTAACAGCTGGTAATCTGGCTGGGATTTCTGGGAGTTGGAGTCCAAAACACTTGAAGAGCTGAAGTTTGCCCATGCCTAATGTAGTGTGCCACTGAAAGGAAACTACCAGTCACTACTAGATGCAGTACATAACATTTTTCCATTATATTTCCTGGCTCTTTTTGTCATTATAATATGGACTGTGGAATAACCTACCTAAAGGGATTTGACAGCTAGATCTACTGTTAGAATTTAAGACAAAATTGACCGGGTATACCTACCATCTTGTAGTAGGCATACCTGGTCAATTTTAAGTTGTGAATTTTAATCTGCATTTTTTCAACTTGTATTTTAACTCTGTGTATCTTGTTGTCTGCCTTCGAATACTGTTCTGTCTCTTGTTTTAGTGGAGTTGCATCCCAGCTCAAGCTATAGGGAGAGGCGGGTAATAAATTCATTGTGATTATGATTACGATTATGATCTGTCAAGTCAGCTTCAGCTTATGGTGAGCCCTACTAAGAACTCAGGGCTATGGCTTCTTTGATTGAGTCTGTCAACTTGCAGTGAGGTTTTTCTCTTTTCCTTCTACCTTTTACCTTATGAAAGAAGGAAGTTGGTGCAATTGTAAATTTGGAGCATAAGGAGATAAAAAGCAGTTACAGATTCATAACTCCAAGTCACAAACCTGTAATTGCAATGCAGAACACCAGTCTACTTTTTGGTCTTATAGCATACTTGAAGAAAGCTGATAATTCCTAAATTTTAGAACTCAAAGGCATAGTCATGTTAGTCTGAAGTATCACCAGGGATCTTGTACTACTTAAGAGACTACGGGAAGCTTTCATAAACTAAGTCGACTTGGGGCTCATCTACAGGTCACTCAAAGGCGCATCTGGTCCAAAGCAGCCCTGGATCCAGCTGAATCTAGGGGTGTTATCCAGACAGGCTGGGACAACATCAGCCCTACCAGACTGTCACCTTCTCCTTCATATTACCACCACCAACCATTCACAGAGCTCCATTCACAGAGCTCCAGTCAAGAACCTGGACATCACCTGTCATGTCTGTGATGTTAGATCTCCCTTCCTTCTTGTAGATCACGTGTGTGCCTCATTCTGACCTTACAGACATGACAGATGACTGCAAGATACTTGGACAGAGCTAGTGGCTTGTTAGGAGCTGTGACAGTGGTGACACAGGCATGAGCCATTCTTTGTTCCTGTGTTGATCAGTACAGGGAAAGGGTGATGGTACCAGTGTCCATCTGGACAGGAGATTGAGTTGAATTAGATCCAGCTCTCCAGAATGCCCCAAAGCCCTGGAATATTCTGGATTTCCAAGCAAACTCTGGAGTATCCTCCAACTTTGTCTTAAGTGGAACAAAGTTGGATTAAAACAAAACAATAACATCCTAGGACAGTGGTTCTCAACCTGGGGTCCCCAGATGTTTTTCGCCTAGAACTCCCAGAAATCCCAGCCAGTTTACTAACTGTTAGGATTTCTGGGAGTTGAAGGCCAAAATAATCTGGGGACCCCAGGTTGAGAACCATTGTCCTAGGACATTTACTGGAAGTCATTCTATATCAGTGGTTCCCAACCTTTTTTTGAACAGGGATCATTTTGGCTAGGGACCACTTAACCAGGGACCACTCTCCAACATTAGTACCAAAAGGGTTCCAAATTGGTTTTTGGTCAGCTTTAGATTTGGTTTGGTGATTTGGGGTGCTGATTCAGAAAATTGCATTGGATA